CTTAATAAAAATACACTTGTTATTCTATATAATAGTTTCATTCTACCTTATTTATCTTACTGCAATATCATTTGGGGTAATAGCCCGTCGTATATTGTTAATCATTTATTTATTATGCAAAAATGGTTCATTAAAATATATTATAATTTGACCTTAATGTCTCATGTTGATCATTTGTTTTTAAAATTAGACATTTTAACAGTTAAACAATTGAACATTTATTATTCATCGATCTTTATGTTTAAATTGATTAACAACTTATTACCTAATTATTTTGTTAAATGTTTTCATCTAAGATCTAACATTCATTCTTTATCGACTAGGCAAAATAATATTTTTTACATATACCCAAATAGGTTAAATATTTACCAACATAGTATATTTGTAATTGGCCCAAGTATATGGGATGAAATTCTGCCAGAGGACATTAAAATTATATCTAATTTGAAGTCATTTAAAAAGATTTATCTATCAAACTTGCATTTAATTTCTTTTCTGTTGTTTAACTAATTACAAATAGTATTAGATATTATTTTGTTTTCGTGGGCTTGTTACATTGGTTTATGTATGTAATCCATCAAATTTACATTTATCTTTCATTTATGTTTAATTAATAAAAGTATATAAATTTTAGTTAACTGTTCAGTGATCACGGTGGCCTTCACAAGATTATTTTATCTTATGTGGTCTCCGGAATCAGCTGTCTGATGGATTTATTTTCTTTTAAATTTTTCTTTCAGTTGGTTCAAATAAAGTATTTTCGTTCGTTAAAATAAAGTATTTTCGTTCGTATATAGGGTTATATAGAGTTATATAGGGTTATATAGAGTTATATAGGGTTATATAGAGTTATATAGGGTTATATAGAGTTATATAGGGTTATATATATTATAAAGTTTTTGCATTTCCAAAAATTAAGTTTCACCAATTCCAATAAGAATCCCATGGGAACCATGGGATTTGCGCGATTCCCGTTCCCATGCTCAACTCTACTGTACATTATGTTTCTATCCTTCATCATTGTTTTGTAGAGAGCCGTTATATCTGTCTACCGTTAACTTTAAATTTGTTATATAGAAATTTTTTTTCATTCTTGGTAAGGAACATATTTCAACACGACCTGAACGCCTAAGTCAAAATTTTCGTTTGAAAAAAACTTCATTTGACGCCTAAACCAACCCGAACAGTTGAATGACGCACTCAAAATGACTAACATGCTGACATACACACTCTTACAAGAATACACACAAATAAACATCCGACACACACACACCTACAAACACACACACATAACACACACAAACATGACATACTTTATCACATGCAAAAAATATCAACGTACACACAAAAAATATTTTAATCATGTGACAATTTAATCAAATAATATGCACCTGAATTTGACACATGGGACTGGCGAGAGAGAGAGAGAGAGAGAGAGAGAGAGAGAGAGAGAGAGAGAGAGAAGCACTGCAAATTAAATCAATCTCAGGCACATTTACATTCGAACGAACATATATATAACTATTGAACACATAGCACTCGTTTAAATTAACAATTATATTTAATCAAAAATATGTTCGTCTCGCTAACCACCGTTATTAGAAGACATACATCGACACTTACATATACAGATACATACATAAACATACACAGACACACATGTAGAAGATAAACTCTCACATGTGGTCATGAAATGAACATCTAAAACCTTCTAAATGGTTTCTTTTCATTATGTGCAGATTTTATTGGCCAGTGTTTTTTTCTGCCGTAATTTTTTCTTTGTTTAACATTTTTTCTTCCAAAAGCAGTAAAACCATTTAGGGTTGATGGTATATATTTCCACTTTTTTTTCCAAAATGTTGACGTCTAGAAGTTGCAACATGGCACGTACCTGCCCCATTTCGTCCATGTCTTATCCTGTTTTAGTTCTGATATTTATTTAAAAAGTTTTGCAAAAAACTGTAGATCGGATAACTGAAACTTTTCGACTGCTATTGACTGCTATCACAGTAGTTATGCCTCTTTGATCACATTTGATCAAAGCAAAAGTGTCCCGAGATGAAATATCATGATCCTATGAAATAAGCTTAAACAAATCAAGAGCATATAAATAATTAACTACACGCAAACAAACATACAAACTGAATTAAAACTAATAAAAATTAATTAAAAAAGTTTTTTGAACATTTACTACCTCCAATAAACCCAAAAATGATAAAACAAAAATGTTGAGAGACATTTTTAGAAGAAGAAAAGTTGTACAGGTTAATCATGATAATTGCTCGCACGTGGTAGTATTTTTAGCAGTACATTCATTGTTAGGTAGTCAGTTTTTCGCAGCTAAAAAAATTCCCAACCGAACAAAAACGAAAACTGCATTGGCAAAGAAGGAAAATATTTTGAAAAAAATGAAAAATTAACTGCACTAAACCAATGTGATTGCTTGGATAAGGATGTTTAGGTGCATAATTTGTTTGGCGCGTGTTTGGCATTCATTCGGAGTGTTTTTTTATTCTATTTTTTTAAATTTCTTCATAAATAGACTGACTGAACTTTCCTATAATGAATGAAATAAATAAAGTCGTTTCTTTAAAATTTTGAATTATTTGCTTTTTTGTGATAAAATAAACTTTGAAAATAATTCTAAAATTGAAAAAAATTCGTCTTGTTACACAACACACTTTGTACACAGACAAACACAGATATACACAGACACACACATACATACACATACATACACATACATACACAGACACAAACATACACAGACACACACATAAATACACAGACGCACACATACATACACAGACATACACAGATATATATACACAGACAAACGTTCATTTGTGAAAATGAAATGAACATCTCAAATCTTCTGAATGGCTAAGCCACTATTACTACAAAATCACCGCGCCATAACTAACAATATCACCATCACCACAAATCATCAACAACAACATAATTGTCCTTAAAAATAAACTCGCACTCTACAGATACAGATACAACACAACACAACACGCACAGCACTGAGTTAATACTCCATATTAATGAGATAATACATCCAACGCAATGAGCAACAACACGTCTGTATGGATTTTGAGATTAACAAATGATCCTCTGTTCAAGTTTGAGTGTATGTTTGTGTGTGTGTTTGTGTGTGTGTTTGTGTGTGTGTTTGTGTGTGTGTGAACGTCTATGTCAGTGTACGTTTGCATGTTGTTGTGTATCTTTTTTGTGTATGTGTGGTCGGCGTACATTTATTTGTATGTTTGTGTGTAGGTGTATGTGTGTGTGTGTGCGTGTGCGTGTGTGTGCGTGTGTACATGAGGCAAAAAAATGTTGATGCTTTCCGCTGCACCAATTAAACTTATTTTACACTTTCTGTGGGCGAGTTTATTTATTTCACAACTTCCAGTTTTATTTTTCATTTTGTCTAGTGCTAATTTAAGTATTCATATTTGTATTCATATGATGAATACTCGTCTTCGTATTCCTAAATCTAAACTACATTAACTTCTCACTCATGGGATAGAAGAAATTCTCAAAAACCCACTTTGTCAAATTATCAAGTGCGTACGTGAGAAAGCAAGAAACAGAGTGCGTGTGTGCGTGTATGTGTGTGTGCGTGTGTATATTTGTGTATACCCTTTATTATATATATATATATATATATATATACAAACATATATATATATATATATATACAAACATATATATATATATACAAACATATATATATATATATATATATATATACAAACATATAATCTGACATTAGCTAACGAATCCTATCGCTTATGGCATTCATGGCTAGCAATCGATATTGATTTGTTCGATGATGATGATGAGGATGATGATGAGGATGATGATGATGATGAGGATGATGGCGAAGCTGATGGTGGTAACGCTGATGATGATGATAAAATTAATGAGGATGATTGCGATCATGCTTATGAGGTTGAGTATGATTAGGACTATGATGACGATGATGAAAATGAAGGCATATACAAACATTAAATCGACGAAAATTAAAACGAATAAAAGATGAACTGAACCAAAAAAATGAGCCATAAGTAAGAAGAAAAAAATAAAAAAAACCAAAAACTCTAAATTAGGAATAATGATTTAATGAGGCCCAAGGTGGAAGCAAGCTAACAAATAGGTGCTATAAATCAAAGGCCAACTATGATAAGACTATATCAATAATCATTTCGGTTTTATTGTCAATCTTTTAATCATCTGTATCATTTTTATTATCTTCCCTTTTTCTCAGTATTTTCAGTATCATTCCTATTATCACTTCTACCAATCAGTATCTTTAGTAACATTTTTATTATCATTTTTATCAGCCAGTATCATTAGTTTCATTCTTATTATATGATAGTTATGAGCCAGTATTATAAGTATCATTCTTACTTTATCATCGTTATCTGACAGTATCTTTAGTATTATTTTTATTATATCTTCGTTAGCTTTGATATCATGTTAGCTTTTATTATTGTATGAGTACCTCTATTAGTATACATCGCTTTATCATTTTATCTTTCTACCTTGCAAAAAAAATAATTATTATTATTGTAAAGTTTATTTGTTTTTTTTTTGTTTTTATTAATAATAACATTATTATTGTTATTTTCCTTTGTTAATAATAAAAATAATAATAATTATTATTATTATTAATACTATAGTTACCATCAACAAAAATATCATCAACAATGACAGCATCTCGACCAGTGCACTAAGAAGATTCCATTCCGTATAAAGTAACCACATGTCACTCGTAAACCATTCTCTGGTAAAATATAGAAAAAGTTAAAAAAAGAGAGTGAGAGAGAGGAAGAGTAGGAAGGCAGACAGACAGACAGACAACAAACAGACAGACAGACAGACAGAAAGACAACAAACAGACAGACAGAGAGAAACGAAAAATGAGAGTAATATAGAAAAACAGGGAAATAACAAAAAGAGAGAGAGAGAGAGAGAGAGAGAGAGACAGAAGCATGAATGTGATGGATATAAGGCAGAAAAAAGAGAGAAAAATATTATTAGGAGTGAAATATGTAGGTGCGAAATATGTAGGAAGTATGCATGGTGTGTCATCAATTCATCATGCTGATTTTATTGCTGCTAACTTAGCGGAGAGGTTTCAGAAGGTGCGTTCATGTGCGCGAACTCTTCTTTCTTTTATCTATCTATCTATCCATTTATCTATCTGTCTATCTATCTATCTATTTATCTGTTTTTATTACCCATACATTAAACTATCCACCCATCCAATTTTTCATGCATTAATTAAGCCAACCAATCATCCATCTAATCATCAATCCAAGATCCAACTTACTATGTGTGTTTCACTTTTTATATTCTCTTCATGGTTTTTCTATCGCTCACTATCTCTCTTTTTCTCACTCTCTTTCTAGTTTCTTTTTTTCTTCTGCATGCGTTTGTGTGATGCAAGTTGATATTTTATGTTGTCAGAATTTTTTAAAAATTGAAACTCTAGCTTCTCACTGCATTGAACAAAAATTTTTATCAACTGAACGTAGGCGTTGAATGTAAGATTTTTGGTTGGGCAAGGCTTATCTGTCAGAATAATTTAATAATATCTATGTGTGTGAGTGGGTGTTTTTGTGTGAAAATGTACGTGAATGTAGCATATTTGTTTTTATGTATGCATTTATTCGTTTTTATGTTACTATATATGTGCGTGTGCATGTCTGTTTGTGTATGTACGTGTATGTAGAAATAATACTTGAGTCTTTCGTTAGAGCAGAAGAACATAGATTCCAATTAGGCAGCAGTCCATTCTTTCAATTGAGATTTCTCGGGGCTCTAGCTTGAAGAAGCACTTCTATTCATTTGGGTCATTAGGAGTTTGTTTGTCACACAAATCTTTGTTCGTTCGTTCGTTCGTTCGTTTGTTCGTTTGTTTGTTGTTTGCTTGTTAAAACGTATTTTTTTCTCAAATGTGTGTGTACTTTGCTAATATGTTTTTTCACATTTTTGCGTTAATTTTGTTTACAACTGTTCTTAAACTGCTCTAAAATCCACATTGTATCAATTCAAAATAGTTTAAGTCAAGAACTTATTTTTTTAGATCCAACATCATTCAATCCGATATTTTTTATTGTAATTTAACCTCATTTCAGTATCCATTCTAACAATTAATCTAAATTCTTCTTTAAAACGGCAATTAAACTAAAAATCATTCTACCATCGCCAGCAAACTGTAGGAAACCGTTGGGAATGACTTCAGGCCAGATACCAGATGAGGCCATTAGGAGCAGTTCTTCGCACGATCACAGTAATGTTGGTCCCATCTTTTCAAGGTTTCTGTTACATTTTTTCTATTTATCTTGTTACACTTAACGCATTTTTTTACAACAATTTTCACGAGTTTTGTTGATTAATTTGTCTATATTTTCCCACATTTAAGATATTTTTTAATAAAATTTGAAATTGGTGAATGTTTTAATATCACTGAGTTGATTACATTCTAAGGAGTTAACATATTATGTGTGAGATCTGTCGCTAAGTTGATAATTTCGTTAAAGATTGTTGGGTTTTATATCCTTTAAAAAAGGTTTTAAACATTTTATTTGAAGTATTTTTAAAATTTCACTACCGTTGAATAAAGTTGTCAAAAAAACAAACATTTTTTTCGGTAAAATCCTTTTTTGAATTCATAAACACTCATTAAAATAAATTATTCAAGTGTTTTGCACTATCAAAAATCATGTAAAAACGTTTTTAGGTTATAAATTAGGCATTTTTTTAAATTGCAAACACACTTTTTTAATTTTAAAACAACAAATTTGACCAATAAATAAAACAAAATAGTTGAAAACAAGATTAATTGTCTCGAAAATTTACCTGCCAACTCTACGAAATATTTCAACAGTTTACATTACTTTACATTGTAAAAATATCACTAAACGGTATTTTAAATGTAGTCCCTTGACAATTTTTTAAAAACAATTAATTATTCATCATTAATTTATATATTTATAACTATTTATTACTTTTTTATGATACTGTTATTTGTTGGTTTATATATTTACCATATATTACCCTCCTATTAAAATATAGTCTCCAATTATATTCCAGGTGTTTTAAAGTTGCGTTAATAAACATCCCATACTTTTATATATAACCCTGACAAAAATACAGCAGAAAGGTAGAAGAAATATGATCGAATGTTTCCTGAAAAACAACGATTCACTGATTGATTCGCTGACAAAATTGATTGACTGAAATGAAGAATGATTGATAGTATTGCTAGTTGATGGATTGATGAATATTGATTGATTGATTGATTGATTGATTGATTGATTGATTGATTGATTGACTGACTGACTGACTGACTGACTGACTGACTGACTGACTGACTGACTGACTGACTGACTGACTGACTGACTGACTGACTGACTGACTGACTGACTGACTGACTGACTGACTGACTGACTGACTGACTGACTGACTGACTGACTGACTGACTGACTGACTGACTGACTGACTGACTGACTGACTGACTGACTGACTGACTGACTGACTGACTGACTGACTGACTGACTGACTGACTGACTGACTGACTGACTGACTGACTGACTGACTGACTGACTGACTGACTGACTGACTGACTGACAATAGCTTACAGTGAGTGTTTAAATGAACATGGAAATAAATTTATTTATTTATCAAATCATATTATATTTTAAATATTATTACAAATAAGGAAACTAATTTTGCGTATAACGAAGTTTGTGCGTAGCCGCAAGGAAATAAAATAAAACAAAGAACCTTTCAAATGCTGGCCAGCCTGTACGGACGTATCAATAATAAATGAGTTAGCGGGGGCGAAGCTTCATCAAAATTTCAACTGGACATATTTCCAAATTACCTCACATTAATTTCAATTTCTGCATATTTGTTGCCGTTTTTCAAAAAAAAAAAAAATGTGAAACCTTTCATTCATCGCGAGTTGTTGCTGCTTCGCGAGAAATTTTATTTGCGAAAATGATGATAAATTAACATCGGTTGTTGGACAAAATTTTAGTGAAAATTTCTAAAACTAGATTACTTATGATCTACACTTTCAATGGAAGTTTAAAACGTCTAATTCATGGAATTCATGAAAAATAAACGTTACTACACACACACGAATTAAAACATCAACAGCAAGCTCAAATAAACCAGCAACTAACTCTAACACTCCTCAAAGCATGTACAAAACAACAACTGAAAAATTACGACAAACTATAAGATGTTCATTCTTAAATTAAAATCAACTAAAAAACAATAGCTCAACAACAGTGAACGAAAAAAAGACGAAAAACCTTAACAAAGATATAATAACAGAATTAAATGAAAAAAACTGACAATAAAAAAGGCGGATATAAACCAAAAACAAACAAAGAAAAAAAAGAAATATAAACAAAAACAATAACAAAGAACAAAATAAAAACATAGACAAAAAAATCCACATTTGCATATCATCCTCCCTCTTAAATACACAAATTTGTTTCTGACAGATCGGCGCGCATGACGTAGTTGTGACGTCACATCTGAACTGCAGTTAAGACTACCTGTCAAATTCCGCATTTCTATCTATGTATTGAAATTTTTTCTACCACACATACACAACACACACATACAGGCTATTCGGCACATGTTAAAAGTGCGTGCGTGTGTATGTGTGTGGTGTGTGTGTATGCGTGTGTGTTACATACACAAGCTCCTCTAATACCACATATACAATTTTATATGTATTTGATGTATATAGACTTATATTAATATCAGATATGTGTTGTATGTATGCAGAGACAAACATAAAAGACAAACACGTTTACACAAAACATCTAAACATACGCACACACACACACACACACACGCACACACACACACACATACACACAAATACTCACACACACACACACACACAGACAAACATGCACACACATAAATAAACACTCACCCACACAAATATATTAAAGGTAAACACGCAAATGTAACAAGTTATGGATGTTGTTAGATGCACATCCATGGATCTAACAACATCCGTTTATTGACCATTTACAAACAACGCATGTCCAGCTCCACAAAACTTTTCACTATTTTCAATTAGAGAAGATATGGAATAATAAAAAAAAATCCAAAAGATTTATGAAAAAAAATGACAACGGAATGAAGGAATGTAACAAATGAGGAATAAAAAGATCACAATGAAAAAATTAGCAGTTAAGTAAAAGAGGTAAAAAGAGAAAGTGAGAGAGAGAGAGAGAGAGAGAGAGAGGAAGAAAGAGAGTGAGGAAGAGGAAGATTTAAAAAATAACATTATAAGTGAGATAACAAAAAATGAATTGTATGAATAATGGTTTATCAACTGTACTTGAAAACTTACATTACAGATCTCGTAACCTTATGAAAAATTTAAAACAAGATACACATTAAGCAGTGCAATGACGTTAATTTATCTACTAATACCAAACACACACACACACACACACACGCACGCACACACACACACACACGCACACACACACGCACGCAAACACACACACGCACATTTACTGTAATAGCAAAAAAACTCTGGATCTAATACATCAGTGGCTGTTATTGAGGGGCGTTGAACCAGAAAATAATAGAGAATAAAAAATGATCATAATAATAATAATACTAAAGATAATGATGATACTATTATCACTTACTACTACTACTACTACTACTACTACTACTACTACTACTACAACTGCTGCTGCTGCTACTACTGCTACTACTACTACTACTTCTACTACTACTACTACTACTGCTACTACAACAGCTACTACTACTAAGAATAATAATAATTATAATCATAAAAATACATCAATAAAAACAATATTCAAGATGATGATGGTGATGATTGGGTGATAATACATTTGAAAAAAAAACATAGATAAATAAAATAAAAATAACACCGAAGAAAATTATTTCAATGTAATAAAAAACCTCTTGAAAGTTTTATAAGTTGAAAATCTTTTTCACAATTTATCGCCATCCCCGAGGTAGATGGTGATGATGATGACGATGATGATGGCTTGATGATGATGATGAAGACGATGGTGATGATGATGGCTTGATGACGATGAAGACGATGACTATGCAGATGTTGATGATGACGGTGCTGTTATATATGGTGCTTATATTTTCATCATTGTTTAATTGATTTAGAATAAACCCACGCATAACTTACACACACATACACACACACACACACACACTCACATACACATACACACACACATACACACACACATATACACACACACACACAGCCCTACCAACGTAAGGACATATGGATGGATACAATCAATAAAATTCACTGGCATACATAATAAGCATTGAGTATGAGAGAGCCACATTGAATTTACTGGAGTATCATCATTACGCTGGATATTTATTCGCGCTCTTATTAGCAGCATTGCATGGCGCGAATGCTATTTCATCTATGCATCCATCTCTCGTCGTTATTAATTTCATTAATTTGTTTTTCCAAAACTGACGACGATGATGACGATGAAAATGATAATGATGATGATGATGATGATGACAATGATAATGTATATGATGATGGTAATGATGACGGTGAAAATGATGATGATGATGATGGTGGTGGTAATGATGATGACGATGATGATGAACGTCATCTTCTTCGCCACCGCATGCTCAAACATTTAAATTTCAAAAGTTTTCGTAATGGTCGTTGTAGATTTTAACAAACTCGTAAACATTATTTCTACTATGACGTCATCTGCAAAGTCAGCGTTTTTATCACCGTTCAAAATAGTTGAATGTATCACCAACAGCCACTTTTGGAACCTAATCCTCGTCACATTACGTCACATGCTGATCGTCAAAACATAACACTTATCATGTCTTCATCACGTCATCACATCAAAGCGACATTATCGTGACATCAACACCCTATCTTCATGTCATTACACCAGCCAGACATCAATATCACATCAATTCCACATCATCATCGTCGTCTTCATCGTCTTCATAATTTCACGAAGGATTGTAATGACGATGTGTATCCGAACGCTTCAAAATTATTGGGTAGACAACATTATCACATGATGGTGGTCAAAATCATCAGATTACCATCACTTTATGATGTGTTTGGTCTGAAATTGTTGCTATGTATCATCACTTCATCATATCGTAACCACTAATATCATCACCATCATCATTAACATCCCACCATAACCAGTAGTGCCACTGTATCTTCGTCACAATCTTATCATCGGTCATAATAATCACATCGTCATCACATCAATTTTCAAGAGGAGATAGAAGATAGTTAGGCTGTAAGGGTCTGAGGTTTAAATCATTATAACTCCATGCCATTAACATCATGTGGTCATTACCATCAACATTGCATCAACATAACATCACATCATTACACCAAGATTTTATTAATGTCATCAAAGTTACAATAAGAAACACACATCATAACATCATTATTATCACATCAACCCACCATCGTCGCCATCATCACATCATTACCATCACATCAACCCACCACCATCATCATCATTACATCAACCCACTATCATCACCATTATCATCACATCATTATCATCACATCAACCCATCACCATCCTCACATCATTACCATCACATCAACCCACCATCACCATCATCATCGTCACATCATTATCATCACATCAACCCACCATCACCATCATCATCGTCACATCATTATCATCACATCAACCCATCACCATCATCATCCACAAATCACCATCAACCCACCATCATCATCATCCTCACATCATCTTTCTTCCTCTAAGAGGAAATGGAACCAAGTGTATGGCTTGAGATTTTAAGGCTCTTAATGAACATTTGCATTAGACATTAACACCATCACATACTTTTTCTTTTTTTCACCGTTACTTTTCATTTTTTGGGAGATTAAAAAAAATTTTTAACAAAAAGAAAAACTTCAATAAAAATACAAAGTACATGTTTGTAATCGGGGAATGCAAATTATACAAAGTAAAAACAAAATAAAAACATTATATTCAGAAACAAAAAAAAATAGCATACATTCCAGAAATACAAATTATGTGGTATAAAATCAAAGAAAAAAAATTTATCAAAAAATTATCTAACAAGGGAAAATACAGATCAATTAAAAAATGAATTATACACTCAACCATACAATGACAAAACATAGAACATACAAAACATACAAAACAGACAACATACAAACCAGACAACATACAAAACTTAAAACAAACTAAGCATACAACACACAAAACATACAACATACAAAACATACAAACATACAAGACCATCACATTTATTCATAAAATTTAATTACAGCCAAAGTCGAAACTATTTCAACTGCAATCAAGCGAACAAATTGAACGAAACAAATGAAATGATTCCCAGATAAAAAAAAAAAAAAAAATTGAAAATTTTTTCCAACCCATTAACAACAACATAAAAGTAAATAATAGCAGCAAACAATTAGACAACAAAAAACTTTCTAAAAAAACTCTAAAATCAACAAAACTGGGAGAAAAAATTATCAAAACACTGAATCACATTGAATACATCACTCCTATATAACTTCATTTTGTTACACTAATTAGAACATTAAAATAGACTCAAAACATTTCAAACATGAACCAAAACACCACAATCACATTTACTCTATAACACACACACGTGTACAATTGTACATACATTATCATCCACCAATACACACAAACACATATAAGACCACAGGCACGCATTTAAAAAAATAAACACACACACATAAACAAACAAAATTGCACACACTTACCAAAAAACAACCAACACACACTCACATACAAACACATACACACACACACACACGTATTAAAAAACCGTCGACTTGAAATGTCTAATCATTTGGAAATATTATAAAAACACTCACATACACTACACATACATGCACACACACACACACAAACATACACACACACGCATGTACACACGTACTTAAACGTATATGTACGTGTAAACATACAGACATACTCACACATATACACACACGCACACAAACAAAGACATCATCAAAATATACAGCCAATCATATGAAATAATTAATCGTACCTTGTCCGTGGGTTGAAACTGAATGCATGAGCATGATATATACAACATAATTAACAATAAAAATAGTAAAAATAATAATAAAAATAATAAAAAATAATAAAATTAATAATAAGATAATATATTGAGGAGAAAAA